GCACCCGAGCCTGCTTCAAGCTGTCCTGCCAGTCCTGAGCAGTTCCCAGAGAGCCCAATACCCCTGAATGAAGGAAAATAGCTTAAGGCCTCGGGCTTCCTTGAAGGGATCTGCAGGGCTTCTATAAGGGCATTGAGGAATATAGCTTAAATCATAATATGAAACCCTATATAATTTGAGCCCTATTCCCTAGTCTTTGATTAAGTGGTAGTGTGGCTTCCGGGGTTTCTGTCATCCTCTCGCCGGTTTTTAAGATTTTAGGGATTGAGAATTCAAGGTGCAGGCGATGCCCAGAGAGCCCAATAAGCTTTAATTAAGGAATATACCTTAAATCATAATATGAATCCCTATATAACTTAAGCCATATTCCTTAATTCCCCTATAGACCCCCTTATAGATCCCTTTAAGGAGCCCTTTAAGGAACCCTTATATTCCTTAATGAAGGGGTATTGGGCTCTCTGGGTGGGGCTTCCGGCTTAGGGTTCGATGTGGGGTTCTGTGTCCCGAAATCGCACCCAAGGACCCAGAGACTCCAATATCCCTTAATTAAGGGATATACCTTAAACTATTATAGGATCCCTAATATGATTTAAGTAATATTCCTTAAATAAAGGATATTGGAGTCCCCCTAAACCCTATAGATCCCTTACAGGAACCCTAGGTATTCCTTAATTAAGGAATATTCCTTAGTTGAGGGATATTGGAGTCTCTGGGGACTCAGGACCAGACCTGCGAACTTTCTGTCCTGCCTTACTCGTGTAGACAGTGATGCTACGGATCCTGCGGCTTAACGGGAACTCCAGAAAGTTGGAATATGGTTTCAGGGTAGGATACCTTATAATTTACCATAGAAGGGTTAGGATAATCATATTCCAACTTTCTGGCTTAGGGTCTAGACCGAGGCTCAAGCACGTTCTTACACAAAAGACAAGCTTACTCTCGAGCCCAGGGTCTTGAAGCTTGCCCTCAATCTTCGTCTGCAGCGCTTTCAACTCGGCCAAGGCGCCTCCCACCCCGCCGGCTCACCCGGTTATATATATATATATATATATATATATATAATTAGAATAGGGTTTTGGGGCCCATTCTACTCTACCTATAGTAAGGAGCCCCCACAATAGTATAGGTAATTATTTCAGCCCCAATATTACTTGGGTGGTTTCTTTCGGCTCTTGATGGTTCGCTGGCTCCGAGAAGGAGTTCATGTCTCGCTCTTTGAGCTGGTTCTAGGGTCTAGAGCCTAAGACAAGTGAATTGAGAGGGTTTTGCAGGGCCTGAGACGACTGGGGACAAGTTGGTGGTGGTAAGGTCTTTTAGGCCCGAATCAAGCTGGGGGGATGCTTGCCATGTTCGGTGTTCATGATGGCAGGTCCAGGGGTTTTTGCATTGCACTGCATACTGTCTGGAGACGAAGGCACATGAACACTTCCACGGAGGTCGGAAAGACATTAGAAGTGTGACAACTTCTTTCATTGATGACACATGTTGTGTTGTGTTTTCCTACCTCCTTTCTCGTGCTTGCAACGGTCCTTTTGCTGTTGCGTGGCATAGTCTTTAGCAGATTCGCGTCCGGTTCCAAACCTTGAGGCGGGTAACGGCCGATGGGTACAACCCGGGTACATCCGAAGAAGCGGAACCCTGCTAAACCCCGAAAGCGTCTTCCTCACAAAAGGTTTAGGGTTTAGGGTTCCCCCCACTTTTCCCCGATAAACTCCGACCCCCCAAAACCACAACTCTCAAGACGTTGTAAAGCGAAGTGCTCCAAGATTGAAATCCTTCCAAGAACTCCTAGCAGAACGGCCTGGGTTGCGAGCTTCGTACTCGCTGGATCGAACCCAGGGATAGCCTGGCTTTCAGGAAAACTTCGTTGATCATAAGGACTTCCATAAAGGCAGAGGTTGCTCGAAACGTCGTATCAGAACGACTATAACAGTTTAGCGCTGGGACTCCTCTACCACTCACTTTGTAAACTTACAGCGTTCCCCTGTTGAACCGCTGTACGGAAATCATTCGACGCACTGACCCTTTTGCTGGGGCCCTCATTTGGATTTCAATCAGTGGGCCCACGCTATCGATCCACAATAACCCAGACCCCCGGGAGGATCCAAAAAGTAGATCCCTTAATGGGGGCTCCTATAAAGTACCCTTAGTAGTATAGGGCCCCAAGTTAGGGGATCTACTTTCTAGATCCTCCCAGAGACTTCAATATCCCTTAATTAAGGAATATCCCTTAACTTATCATAGGATCCCTAATCTGATATCAGGAATATTCCTTAATTATAGGATCCCTAATCTGATATAAGGAATATTCCTTAATTATAGGATCCCTAATCTGATATAAGGAATATTCCTTAATTATAGGATCCCTAATCTGATATAAGGAATATTCCTTAATTATAGGATCCCTAATCTGATATAAGGAATATTCCTTAATTATAGGATCCCTAATCTGATATAAGGAATATTCCTTAATTATAGGATCCCTAATCTGATATAAGGAATATTCCTTAATTATAGGATCCCTAATCTGATATAAGGAATATTCCTTAATTATAGGATCCCTAATCTGATATAAGGAATATTCCTTAATTATAGGATCCCTAATCTGATATAAGGAATATTCCTTAATTAAGGATCCCTAATCTGATATAAGGAATATTCCTTAATTATAGGATCCCTAATCTGATATAAGGAATATTCCTTAATTATAGGATCCCTAATCTGATATAAGGAATATTCCTTAATTATAGGATCCCTAATCTGATATAAGGAATATTCCTTAATTATAGGATCCCTAATCTGATATAAGGAATATTCCTTAATTATAGGATCCCTAATCTGATATAAGGAATATTCCTTAATTATAGGATCCCTAATCTGATATAAGGAATATTCCTTAATTATAGGATCCCTAATCTGATATAAGGAATATTCCTTAATTATAGGATCCCTAATCTGATATAAGGAATATTCCTTAATTATAGGATCCCTAATCTGATATAAGGAATATTCCTTAATTATAGGATCCCTAATCTGATATAAGGAATATTCCTTAATTATAGGATCCCTAATCTGATATAAGGAATATTCCTTAATTATAGGATCCCTAATCTGATATAAGGAATATTCCTTAATTATAGGATCCCTAATCTGATATAAGGAATATTCCTTAATTATAGGATCCCTAATCTGATATAAGGAATATTCCTTAATTAAGGGATCCCTAATCTGATATAAGGAATATTCCTTAATTATAGGATCCCTAATCTGATATAAGGAATATTCCTTAATTATAGGATCCCTAATCTGATATAAGGAATATTCCTTAATTATAGGATCCCTAATCTGATATAAGGAATATTCCTTAATTATAGGATCCCTAATCTGATATAAGGAATATTCCTTAATTATAGGATCCCTAATCTGATATAAGGAATATTCCTTAATTATAGGATCCCTAATCTGATATAAGGAATATTCCTTAATTATAGGATCCCTAATCTGATATAAGGAATATTCCTTAATTATAGGATCCCTAATCTGATATAAGGAATATTCCTTAATTATAGGATCCCTAATCTGATATAAGGAATATTCCTTAATTATAGGATCCCTAATCTGATATAAGGAATATTCCTTAATTATAGGATCCCTAATCTGATATAAGGAATATTCCTTAATTATAGGATCCCTAATCTGATATAAGGAATATTCCTTAATTATAGGATCCCTAATCTGATATAAGGAATATTCCTTAATTATAGGATCCCTAATCTGATATAAGGAATATTCCTTAATTATAGGATCCCTAATCTGATATAAGGAATATTCCTTAATTAAGGGATCCCTAATCTGATATAAGGAATATTCCTTAATTAAGGGATATTGGAGTCTCTGGGCTCCGGGTGTCTGGGAACAGATGCAGACGCCGAAAGGGACTCCTGGTTTTTCCAGAAGCCCCGCATTCTTCAGCCAGACTAAAGACCGGATAGAGAGTCCCCAATACCCCTTAATTAAGGATTGTAAGGGTTCCTTAAAGGGCTCCTTAAAGGGATCTATAAAGGGGGTCTATAGGGGACTTAAGGAATATGGATTAAATTATATAGGGCTTAATATTATGATCTAAGCTAGATTCCTTATTTAAGGGCTATTGGGCTCTCCGGGTCTGAGCTTTCATGATGGAGGGCCTGCTTGGAGGTTCAGGGGACTTAGTAAGTAGGGTTAGAAGTAAGGTAACTATACTTCTAACTACTTATAACCCCAGTAAGTTTACTTATAACCCTACTTACTGAGCCCCATGATCCTCCAAGTAGGCATTTCGGATTTAGGACCTCAGGGTCCCAATCCTTATAGAAGCTCTCCAGATACTATTATCAAGTCTGGTTCCATATCGACGCATACAAATGTCTACCCGTATACGTACCCCGCGCTATGTCCTACACCAGCTGTTGGGTTCTAGGCTTACATCGCCTTGTTGACGAAGGGTGTCCAGGACGTCCCGGGCCCGCAGCAGCACGTCAACTTGCTGAACAAACTCATCCTTGCTTGCGGAGGCTTCCCGCGACGCGAGAGAAAGCTAAGCTTGAGAGGCCCTTCAGCCCGAAACACTAAGCTCCAGCATTACACAACAGCTCAAAGCCAAAAACTCAGAACCCAAGCGTCGTGCCGCTCGCTCCTGAGCAGTGCCCTGGCCTTGAGATCACGAAGCTCATGTTCTGAGAAGGAGACCTCTCAAGGGTTAGGGTTTGGGGTACGGGGATCTGTTTTTGGGGTCTCTACCCGGGGGAGAGTAGCTTTAGTGATTTGTGTTTGGAGCCTTTACAAGGGCTCGAGAAGGAGAGCTTACAAGGATCCGAGACATAATGGGTCCTTGGCATTTAAGTTCTCGTGACAAGTAAATAACATGTATTTGCTGTATATCTCTATTTCAGGGTTGGGGCTCGTAGCAGGGGTTCATTCTCGGAGAACTATCTCGACAACGTTGCCTCGTTGTGGTGTGATTAGTGAGGATTCTGAGGGGGAAGACTCTTGTTTGGAATATTGTCCGCCTGTTGATGCCGGCCATCAAGGAAGGTGACATAGGTAAGTGCGATCTCCACTCCACTGGCGCGGCAGTGAAGCCGATAAACGCCTTCTCTGGAGGCATGCTTGATCTTCTCCCCGGCCATTTCCTGCGAAGAAGAGACTCCCAACATGCCAAACCTGACAGAACGATGTTTTGAGCGTTACTGTTCCGTCCTCTCGTGAAGACAGGTTCTTGTAGAGGTTTGAAAGCCCATGGCAGTGCTGAGAGCACACGCGCAGCTTGTCCCCTATGTCGTCAACGTCGCCTTTCAGCTCACGGTGCGTATCCTTGATGGCCCAGACGAAGTTCGATTGAATCCTGAAGGCTCAGGACTCCCATTCGAGAGGCCACAATCAGGTATCGAGCTGCAAGAGATCTCGAGAAGGGGAGGGCGGAAACCCTAGCGGCTAGAGGCGGTGTTCTCAGGATTTTGAGACGCTACGCGCCTGGCTGTCCGCTTGACCAGAAGCCGAAAGAATCGCTGCATGTCCAGCAAGGCAAAGATGGTGTCTGCTCGGATAAGCTCGTCTGAATGTTCTTCAACGGCATCTTGCAGTGGCATGAGGTCCTCTTTCAGCAATGGGCGAAGGAAACCATCAAGCTCCTTGGCATCTGAGAGGGCTCTGACGATGTCATCTGTGCCACCCTCCCGGAGCTTCAGCAGGATGTGGTCTTCAGCCAGTTGCACTTGCTCTGCCACTGCTGAGACCGTCTTACTGTGGACGCCTCCATAATGTATCGGAGATGGAGAAAACCCGGATTGCAGGATGCTGTCCAGCTCGGGTGGCCGGGACTCCTCGATCGCCGTCTCCATGTCCACGAGCATACCGGCCATGAGTTCCCAAGATTGCTCGCAAGCACCAAAGATCTGGCTGGCCGCACACCTCGGCTCGCTACACTGCCTGACCTACAAGCTTAAAGAATGAGTCGCTGCACAATGCCCCAACTGCCTGCGTTATCACATTCCCGAAGACGGTCTCAGGTGGCGAATCCTATGACAGCAGTGAGGCTCTCAGTGAGTGCTCAAGCGAGCTTCAAGCACGAGACTTACCACTGACTTACGGCACTTAGATAGTCATCACACTGATAGAGCAATCATGATGATGATTATGATGACGATGGTGATAGTCGTATAAGTACTATAGTAACTGGACACTTGCATGACTAAACATGCCAGTGATGAGCTAGCTCAGCTACAACGACCATCGTGATGAGCATTGCAAGCGTAACCGCAGCTTAACTGTAGCAGCAGCATTCCCAGAGACTCCAATATCCTTTAATTAAGGAATATTCCTTCAAGTATAGTAGGCATATGATTTGAGGACTATTCCTTGATGAAGGGATTTGGCAGTCCGCTTAAACCTAAACCCTTTTGATCCCTTAAAGGAACCTTAGGTATTCCTTAATTAAGGGATATCGGAGTCCCTGGGCTCATAAATGGTCTTAATGCCGCCATGCCTCAGGGCCCTCAGATCAGCTTTGGCGCTTCCGAGTTGAAAGCATTTCTCCACAGAGTGCAGGAGATCCTCCGAAAATGGCTGCCCGCTCACCTTGCTTTTTGAGGTCAGGGCTTAGGGCTTCCGAAGTTTGCGGGGTTTAGGGTTTAGGGTTTCAAGGGTTTAGGGTTGGTGTCAGGTCAGCTTATCGGGTTTTCGTCGAAGTTTTACACGGCTCCTCTGGGTTCGTTGCTTTTACAAGCTGGACAGGAAAGCCCGTCGTCTGTCACTTGAGGAATAATCCAGTAGTAGTAGTAGTCGTCGCCGTCGTCGTCGTAGTCACCGATCGCAGTAAAATTGATAGCAATACTAAAGTCAGTAGCCATACAAAGGACACATACTCAACCTGGCTTTGCCCAGCTCTTAGATCAGCTAAAATAATACCCTCAACCCCAGAAAGCCTTATAAGTCCTATAAACCCTAAACCATAACCCCTGCCGACCCTAAACCCTCAACCCAAAGATCCTAAGCCCTGCAAGAATAGGCCCTGTTTCAGTCATGACTTGGGCTGCCGGCTTCTGCTGCCTTCTGGAGCCACTCCCGCACTTCGATAGCCTCCAGGGCTTAAGAGCTTTTTGGGGTGCTATACAGTGTGATATTCATGTTTACGTCGATGTAAAAGCATGTACACTGTATAGGGTTTCAGAGACTTCTAGAGCGCTTGAGGAGTCGGGTTCAGGGCTTACGGTTTGGTGGGTAGGGCTTCGCGGTTAGAGTCGACGCCTCCAGGCTGCCGGACCTACAGTCTTGGGTTCACGGGCTTAAGCTTTAGCCTTTGCGGAATCTGAACTTCGCACAGCCTTGGCTGAGTACGACTTCAGAAGCAAGTTGGTCCTTTGAAGACGAGGGCTTTTTTCATAACTGGCCAGCCTCACCCAAGGGCAGCACTGCCCGAAGCCTTGTCAGCACGATGCGCTCTGGCTTCGTCTCGGCAATGCTTTTGCAAATACCTCAGCGGACACTTAACGAAGGTGTTTGGGATTATGGACGAAGCGATCCATCTAGAGCTGGATCCACAAAAATGGGGATCTCCGTGCCTAACAGGCATCTGACCGTATGCTTCGTGCCAGGCGGCTCTTGAACTCTTTGAGCAAACCGTCAAGGTGGAGGACGATACCACGACATGCCCGATATTCGCCCAACTCTATCTCGAGCTCAAGTATCTGCTCATCTGCCTCCTGCATGGTATCCTGGAGCGACTTCGCGTACAGCAGGGGTGATCCCGGAGAGTCAAGATTCAGGGTTTAGGGGTTCTTGGGCATGTCTGCATCTTGAGAGCACAAAGAGGACCCATATGACAGCTGTTCTACATTATCCGTTCGAGGTACCAATTACAACAGTGCTAGGGTGCGAGGACCCTCGCAACAGCTACATTCTAGAGCATCGAGCCCACAACAAAAAGACTGCCAATCATGGGAGTGCAGCTGAGCTTCTGCAGCTTCGTTTTCAAGCTCTTTGTCTTCTTCGGGATCTCGCTGTCTCTCACCCGACCACGAGGCATGCCTTGTCGCAACCCAGTCTCGAACGTAGCGAACAAACATAGTGCAGTCCGGCAATGATTGGATCGCAGCGTGCTTGCAAAACCACCATCGCCCCTGCAGCAGTGGAGCCAAGAGCTCGCTTTGGCATTCTACGGTCTCCGTTCCTAAAACCTCCACAACTCTACTCTAAACTAACCAACACCCGAGGCCAGAAGCACCACGCCCAAACACTGACCCTAAAACATTACGTTCTGAAGCATGAGCCCTAATAATTATCAGTTTGAAACCCCGAGCCCTGCAAAACAAAACCCAAAACCCTAAGCTCCAAAATTAGAACTTCAGAACAGTCGGGCTAAACAGATAGACACTGAATAGATAAATCCGTTAATTTTTTCCTGTCACAAACGGGACCCCCAAATTTAGGAACGATCCCCGACAAATCCGAAGGAACTTTGCAGAACCCGGCCTTGCCGAGCTCTGCCAGTCGACGGACTGGTTTTGCACGGTCGTGCTTGAGCAGGTCCTGTACCCAGAGACTCCAATATCCCTTAATTGAGGAATCTTCCTTAAATCATATTAGGGATCCTAGTATAACTTAAAGTATATTCCTTAATTAAGGGATATTGGAGTCTCTGGGTAGGGAGCCACATCTTCTTCCCAGAGAGCGCAATACCCCTTAATTAAGGAATATGGCTTACATTGTACCGGGCTTCATACTATGATTTAAGCTGTATTCCTTAATTAAGGGGTATTAGGCTCTCTGGGTTGGAGGCTCCACAGCTCCACAAGTTATAGAGAGTTCTCAGTAAGTAGCACTATAATATACACGATCAGTATGGCTTTCAAATTTTGTGGCAACTGGTTTTCGTGTCAAGTACTGAAAACAGCAGACGGCAAACTTCTCAACCTTACAATCAGACCCTAACCGCTGGAATCCCCAATCTAGATTCCCGAGTCCAAAAACAGAAATCCCCTACCAAAACCCTGAACCCTGACCCCCCAAGCAAACCCTAAACCCTAAACCTAAAACCCTAAACCCTAAACCCCAAACCCCGAAACCCTGATCCCCCGAAGCCCACGCTCCTGCCCCTTTGCGTCTAGCTCGGCAGCCCCTCGCAGCTCGCACCTGCAGAGAAGTTTAGGGGCTGCCGAACTACGGGGAGTTTGGGGGTTCAGAGATCCCAGAGAGCCCAATACCCCTTATTGAAGGAATATATCTTAAATCATAGTATGATGCCCTTTATAATTTGAGCCATATTCCTTAAGTCCCCTATAGACCCCCTTATAGATCCCTTTAAGGAACCCTTATAATCCTTAATTAAGGGGGATTAGGGGGCTCTCTGGGATTGCGTTCGGCCTTGGGCTTGGGCTTCGATACTTTAGGGGATACTAGAGGGGATACTTTAAGGGATACTTTCAGGGATACTATAGGGGATCCAATAAGGGACACTATAAGGGATACTAGGGGCTACTTCTTGGGATCGGATTTGGATTGAAGGCGTCCGTCGCCACGATCCAAAGCAGAAGTATACGAGGCATATTCATCTGTACAGACACCCGCGGACTGTACCGTCTCATCATAATACTCTTGGACCACGAACCCACTGGACTCTTGTTGTAAAGAACCCCTCCCACTTCCGGCAGAAGGAGAGGAAGGCGTAAGCGGCACTGGCTCTGTTGGCGTACCTTGCGTGGGTGGTTGTTCTGAATTATGGATACTGTTGGGCTGAGGCTTCGGGGAGTTCTGAACTACTGTTGATGATATAAATCCTGCATTACCTTAAGGGCCCTAAACCATGGGAATTATGGTATATTCCTATAATGGGTAATGCAGGATTTATATCATCAACCGTATGGACGGCTTTGGGCATCTTAATGAACAAGGCTATCATTCTCTAAGCCCGCAAAGAGCTCAGAAGTTGTCTGTGATTCTGTTGATAGGTCGCGAAGCTTCAACGACCTCGGGTCTAGGTGCTCAGAGGTTGGGTTTCTTACTTCCACAATAAGCAACAGAAATACAAGGTTAAACGTTGCAGACTACTACTGATTTTAAGAACCCACATGTCTAAAGGTTGGAAGCTCAAGACTACTGTTACTGCTTCTGCTTCTGCTACTACTTCTGCTGCTGCCGCTACTGCTACTACTGCTACTACTGCTACTACTGCTACTCCTGCTACTCCTGCTACTCCTGCTACTCCTGCTACTTCTACTTCTACTTCTACTACTACTACTACTACTACTTCTACTACGACGACGACTACTACTACTGCTGCTACTGCTAGTGCTACTACTGTGTTGATTAACATTATGGGTATCACGATTTCTGTTTTTGTTATTGTTATATACATATATATATATATATGTAACAGGAACCTGAGAACCCACAAAGGCCTTCAGCGGGTCCCGAATCCTAGCCAGAAGCTAGAACCTCGAACCCAAAACCCTTCAACCCCAAACCCTAGAACCTTAGACCACAGCCAAGCTGCTGGCTCACCATGTCTTGCAAAGCCTGCACAGCAACTTCGGCTGTGTCCGCAGGTTCTGATGAAACAGAAGCTGCATGCAGATCCTGTCGACGGATAGGAACTACTAAACCCTGAATCCGAAAATTTAAACCCTAAGCCTTCTAAATATCTCTAAATCATAGGTTGGCCAGTTTGGGACAACACTGGGGCATTGGAATGTTTGCTAGAACCGCAAGGTGGGTGTGGAGCTATGTGGTCATTTGCTGCCTGCTCAGCACCAGCAAGTTCGAAAAGGTTTTGGGCTTGGGGTGCCTGGGTCGAACTTTTCGGGCCCAGGATCAGTTTCGTGTTTTGGGGCTCTTCTAGTCAGGGGCCATTTCCAGCGAGCATGACTTATTCCTGAATTGAGCAACAAGCCCAAGCTCACATGAAGGATCACCCCAGCTGTGGTATATTACGTCACAGCCATCATAGGTTCTTTGTCGGGCTTCTTACTCATTTGCGCTCTCTGGTTTTGGCTTCCATGAGCGTAAATTTTATTACGGCCGTCGCTCGATTGCAGGGCTCCTGGGGTTCAGCGGAGGCACCTGACTCGCCACTTGTTGTTTCTCGTGTTTTCTAGTTAAAACCTCTTAACATATTGGGGAAAAATGGTTTTTTCCCCCAATATGTTTAGTGCTTATACCAGAAAGTGTATTCGTTCCCAGTGCTTGGGCTTAGGGTTCAGGGGCTTCGCGATTTAGGGGTTTCGTCATTGCGGGTTTCGGGATGACCTGGTCGCAAGCTTTTGTATGAATGCTGATCGGACCTACCCCCGAACAAACCCGAAGTCCCAGAGCAAGGTTCATAATTGGGATCGTCATAGCTGTTTAAAGTTTAAACGTGGGGCCTGTTCTTCCTTGCTAATGATATGAGGCTCTGTATGACAGGCCCCTTTCTGAAGCCTCCTGTGGAGGGTGCAGGACCCAGACGCTGTCCTTGTAGAGGAGCAGCAGCTCAACAAGACTTGAGCGCATGTTGAGCACCTCTGGATGGTGCTTGAGGGCTGAATGCTGGTAGCATAAGTATCGGGATATCCCCTACATAGGTGCGTTCGGTCAGATGCTCTGAGGGACTTCCGGGATCCCCTATTTAAGGTGGCTTTCGCCACCGGTACGATAGTGACCTTGCGTGGAATCTATCTTCTTCGATCCTTATGCTTTGAGGGATGTGGCTTTGCATGGCGCTGTGACGAACGATGCTGCGCCTCTTCTGCACGTTGAAGCGTGATGTGTCCTCGGGGGGATCTGCAAATCCCTATGCAAGTCGGAGTCAAGGTTGCACACCCTAATCTCCGGAAGTGCAGGCCCCGGTCGCTAAACTCCAACCTCCAAAGCCTGTCCTTTGTCCCTGATGAAGCCCAATTCCCTGAAGCGGAGTCTTCTTGCCTTTCAACCATGTGGGATGCGCGAAACTACGGGCGAACAGCGAGCTATAGGGAAGGGAGTTTGGGGTCTTCTGTCATGTCAGTCCAGACAACTTGAAGGGGCTCCAGAGTGGCAGGAAACACGAAATATGGAAGCAAACCATCGCAAGACATGCAGGCTTTCGCAGGCTACAAGTACATCACTCCACACCCGAACTCCAAACCGGAAGCGCGCAGTCCCGCAACATCACACTTGCCCTAGGCCGAACCGCCCTGCGCACACAGTGGCTAGAGCGGCTCGGATTGTAGAGAGCTCTACTTAAAGGATCAGGGGACTTAGTAAGTAGGGTTATAAGTAAGGCATCTACAGTTATATCTACTTACAACCCTAATTAAGGTACTTATAACCCTACCTACTAAATCCCATGATTCTCTGAGTAGGGCTTGTGGTTTAGGCCTACATCACGGTCCTGCCACCACATCTTGCAGCCACTCCTGACAGGCAGGAGGGCAGGTGGCTTCTAGTTGGGGCTATAGGTACTCCAGTTGAGGTATCTTCTCCATGCTAACTTACCGCTATAGATATGTAACTGACTTACTTAGTCTCATAAAAAACCGTTGCTGTAGTAACCCTTACAAAAACCGGGCTCTTGTAACCCTCCTAGAGCCCTTTCAACTCATTTTAACTTGTACTCTAATGGCCTTAATAATTGGAAGAGGGTTTCGGGGGCCCCTTATACTATTATTGTAATAAAGGCCACCCAGAAATAGTAGAGGTTATTAACAAGCTCTATATTCACCGCCTTCTCAGCCCCCCTGATCCTTTCAGTCCTGCAAGGAATCCAATATCCCTTAATTAAGGAATATTCCTTAAATCTTATTAGGGATCCCATTATAATTTAAGGTATATTCCTTTGTTAAGGGATATTGGAGTCTCTGGGTCCTGCAAGGAATCCATGGTCTGACGAAGGTGGGGATGCTCTCGCAGACCGTCGCCAAGGTCATCCCAAGCCTCGGCAGGCTTAGCTGCAAGACTCCAAGGGGAAAAGGAGGGACCCTTAATGGGGACCCCTACCCTATAATGGGCTATATAATGGGTATATAATGGCTATATTAAAGGTATATACCTAGGGGCCCTTATTAAGGGTCCCTCCTTTTCCCCCTTGAAAGACCACCACTAAAAAATCCTTGGTTGCTAAGTCCCCTGATCCTCGAAATCCTAATGCACCTTAAAAGGAACCCTTATACCCCTACTTACTACGTCGCCTGATCCTCCAAGTACTTTACAATAAGATAACCCTCCCACTTACTGAGTCCCATGATCCTTAGAACCCTGAACCTTATAGATCCCGTATAGAATCTAAGGAATCCTCCCCCTCTTTGGAGCCTATGGATCCCTTAAAGGAACCCCAGGTAGATCCCTTATAGATCCTCTAATTAAGCCCTTATAGATCCCTTTGTGGATCCCTTTAGAGGAAACCTTTAGAGGAGCCCTTTAAGTTACTAAAGCCCCTGCTCCTCCAAATAGACCCTAAATCCTTACAGTACCCTTATAGATCCCCTACAGATCCCTGAAAGGAACCCTTCACCCCCTAGTAAGTCGAGTAAGAAGTGTGGTAACTAGAGTTATATCTACTCATAACCCCAATTAAGGTACTTATAACCCTACCTACTACGTCCCCTCATCCCCCAAGTAGGTCCTAAACCCTAATAGTACCCTTATAGATCCCGTTATCGTGCCCTTATAGATCCCTATAGATCCCTTAAAGGAACCCTTAACCCCCTACTTACTACAACTAAGTCCCCTGGTCCTCCAAGTAGGCCCGAGCAGCTCGCAGCAGGAGGCGCCACGGGGCGGAGATCGGCTCCAGGAGGAGGAGCGGATCCTTCTGTTTTGGAACAAAGGAGTTTCCGAAAATTTCGGGCACCTTATTTCCCCTATTTTAAGGAATGCTTGGGGGTTCCTTAAAGGGATCCAAAAAGGGATCTATAAAGGCTTAATTAGAGGATCTACAAGGGATCTACCTGGGGTTCCTTGATAAGGGGATCCTTTAAGGGATCCATAGGCTCTAAGAGGAGGAGCGGATCCTTTTTTTGGGGTATTGGGGTTGGTGGGTTTATATAGGGGTTTAGTGGTTTAGGGTTTAGGGGTTTGAGGGTTTAGGGTTTAGGGGTTTGTGGGTTTAGGGTTTAAGGGTTTAGTGGTTTAGGGTTTAGGGGTTTGTGGGTTTAGGGTTTAGTGGTTTGGAGGTTTATAAAGGGTTTAAGGGTTTGGGGATCCTTTTGCTTTGGATATTGGGGGGTGTCGTCAGAGACTCCGAAACCCCTTGATTAAGGAATATACCTCAGCGTATATTCGGGTTCCTGTTTTTGTTCTGGGATACTGGGGGCTTTTTAAAGGGGTCCCCAGAGACTCCAAAACCTCTGAATTCAGGAATATACCTTAGCTTATATTCGGGATCCTATTTTGTTTGAAGGGGATATTGGGGGCTTGTCTTAAAGGCTGAGTACCGTAGCGCAAAAAAAGGTTATCCTTTTCAGTTATGGTAGGATGATAAAGACTACAAAAGGTTAAAGGTCACCTACCCAGCCCCTACGTTGTACATAGGTCCCCAGAGACTCCGAAAACACTTGACTAGGGAATATACCTGAAGCCACAGGCCATATTAGGGTTCCTGTTCTAGTGTGGGTATCTTCCTTCGCTTAGAGGGTTTTGGAGTCTCTGGGTCCAATACGTGACCTCAAGCGAAGGCGACTATGAGATTAACCTTTCCAAAGCGGTCTAGGTTATTTGGGTGGTTCATAGGGGTCCATTACTTTTTTTTTGGGGGTGTCAAAAGTTAAAAGTCGAAAGACGGTTTCTTGCACCCAGAGAGCCAAATACCCCTTGATTAAGCAATATAGCTAAAATCAAATTATGAAGCCGTATATAACTTAAGCCATATTCCTTAATTTAGGGGCAGTGGGCTCTCTGGGGAGCTTCTATGGGTCTTATGGGACTTAGGTCTTCGGTTCTTAGGTGCCAGGGAAGCGGCTGGCCCGGCTGTGGCAGCACTTAGCAACGCTTGGAGCGCCGCTTCTGCATGCCGCCGGCCCTCACCGGAAAGGGTGTGAAGGCAGAGCTTGACAGTGCGGAGGAAGACGTCATCGTCGGCCATGATGCCAGAAGCCTTGCCGCACAGAAATCACGACAGGTTCATATGCGGCATGCCACAATACGAAAACCTCACATTTCTTTTTTTTTTCTTTTTATCTCTCTCTCTCTCTCTCCCTCTCTCTCTCTCTCTGTGTTTGTATATTCACATGCCTATGTACATGTAAACACATATATGCATACATGCACATTCATTCTGTCCTATACGATGTGAAGCTGTGCTTGGCTCCGAGGCATCATCTACTGCGTTCTGTCTGAACTACTGACTACATGTGTACTGCTCCCTGTGGCTCTGTATCAGCCTGCTTAATATAGGGGACTTCATTAATTAGAGTAGGGTTCCTTGAAACGGGTCTATAAAGGATACTATGAGGGTACTATAATGTAAGGGTTTTAACTATTAGAATAGGGTTGGGGCCATTATACTACAATTACAATAAGGAACCTCCCAAAAAATGATAGGTAATTCTTGAGACCCCTATATTAGCTTTTGGAACCCTCGAGGCCGCGGCGGCTTCAGAAAGCTTCTTGACCCAGTGATGAGCGATCTCCTGAAAGAAGACACGTATGTAGGGTTTAGTTTAGGGTTTAGGGCTTTAGGAGTTTAAGGTTTAGTTTAGGGGCTTAGGGATGAGAAGTGCTTCGGTTTCTTTGAGGAGTAGTATCAGTCTGACTGTAAGCGTCCTGTATTCAGCTTCTACAATATGGTTTAATCCGTGATCATAGTCACAAGTGCAGCTTGGCTCTCAACTTGGCACAGATGGCTTCCACGTGCGGAATCTGCACGCTCGAGATTGAAACTCAACGACCCCAAATCCTCCTCCCTGAGCTTGAAGCCCTAAACCCTAAATCCCTAAAGCCCTAAACCCTGCTTCCTCGGGGTTTGGGTGGCCTGAGACCGAAGCCTGAAGAAGGCTCTGCAGGTGATCTCAAAGTTTAGAGAAATGAAGTTGGTCATACAAGGACTTATGGTAAACCCCCAAAAGTGCAAACCGGATTTAGGCAAAATAGTTCTGGGATTCCCTATACATTGCTCTTAAGGACTGAGGCTACTGGGTTTCCAACTTTTGGGATTCTACCATAACGTACTAACGCTCCACTCGAACATTGGCATACAGCCCGACAGCCCGAAATCCTGAAACTTACAAGCCCGTGCAGCTGGATTTGCTTTCCCCGTGTAGTCGAGATTCATTCAGGACCCTGCTATCGAAGAGTAATAGGCAAGGACACATCCATGCATTTAAAAGAAAGAAAGTAAATAATCACGTAAATAGCTGTAAGTATGAAAACAGATATCGGTATACACATACATGAACCTACCAATATACATCCATACGTACATACATACCTACGCATATATATATATATAGATATATACATATAGACACATAGTTACTTGCATGTACATATATATATATATATATACATCTATGTATATGTTTTTATGTACCGTTACATGTGTAGATATGTGTATACATGTTTACACATGTATATTACATGTATGTTTAGTTGTATGGCCATATCTGTGTGTAGACGCCTTGAAGCTTAAACATCTAAACACCCAAGCTCACTTGCGGCTCCTTGCAATATTAAAACTTCCTCTCGAACAAAAAAGCACCTGCCGCAACTCCCATTAACAAAGAGGCCGCTCATTGTTTCAACGGCATGGCCTCAATCCCGTACTGTAAGACTGTCAACTCTTAGCCTTGCAATCTCAGAATGAAGTCAACGTTTACCAAATCCGTGCAGCATAGAGCGCCAATATCAGAAAGCCTGTTTTATTCCTTAGTAAGGGAACTAGTTCATGGTTGGGAAAGGAATAAAAATTCAAGTTTTTAATCCTTATTGGGTTTAAGTACCCATAAAAATTTTAGATGTTACCCAACTATGACAAAGGGAAGGAATGTACTACTCAGGGATTTTACTACCCTCCATACGTTTCCTCCGACACGCCCGCAGGATGCAGGCCGGGCAAGACACCCAGGAGCCCGACCTCCCCAACTGCCTCGGATAAGGGTACTATAGGGGCCTCAATAATTAGAACAGGGTTTTGGGGCCATTTTACTATAATTAGAATTATATTTATAACAAGGAACACCCACAATAGTAGTGGCAATTATTTAGGCCCCTATAGTAGGCCACTGTCTCTTCTGCTTGGCCTGCAAGTCTACTGTTGAGGAATTAACAAACATGGATGTTTGGAATATTGAAGAAGTGTGACCAGTCCAGCCACTCGAATCTAGATGTCCTTCAGGTTTAGACTAAGGCAGCCGGGTGCATCTAATCACAAAGCAATTCAAGTCCAATATCGCCCCTCCAACTATGCGGACGCCTTTGTGCAGCTCGAAAGCATCAAAAATGTCTTCAGCTGCCGCGGAGATAAGCGACAACGGATCCTTGAGCGCCCACTCCTGCAACGATGATTGCTATCACTCGTGGTGGTACATATGTCGACGACGACAACTGGAGCACATTGGTGACAGTCATGGCGTTCTTTTTCCAGTAGCCCGATGTCCCCGAGCAATGTCGGTAGTAGTAGTGCTAGTAATCGTCGTCGTCATCATCGTCGTGGTCGTCCTCGCGGTCGTGTTCGTGGTCGTGCTCGTGGCTGTAGTAGTAGTAGTAGTAGTAGTAGTAGTAGTAGTAGTAGTAGTAGTAGTAGTAGTAGCCGTAGCGGTAGCCGTAGGGGCCGGGGGGTCGGGGAGGGGGTAGGGGTAGTGGTAGCAGCAGGTGCAGCAGCAGTAGCAGTAGCTTTCCCGTCGTTGCCTTCGTGTCGCCGCCGTCAATCACATCACCTTACCATC